GTTTTTCTTTTACCATTTTTGACCTCAAGGTATAAAATGAAAAATCAACGATTTATCGTCTTAGATTAATTATTCGGTATTCCATTGTGAATTAAGGAATTAATTATTCTCTAAATTAGCATGCATTTAAGAATTAAGTTCGTATTTGAGCCTCAATCTTTAAAATTCATTTTCTTTAAAATACAATAATTTTGCGCGAAATTCAAAAATTTTCTCTACTTCTAACCATATATTTTCCAAAAAAAATTACTATTACGAAATTTATATTTTCAAAAAATGAAGCTCAAACAGAAATAATATAATATTCCAAATTGGTTTATACATTTATCATTCTAAATCATTCTTATTTAGTTAATATATATATTTAGAGCTACCAATAATTAAATTTAATATTTTAAGTTTAACTCTTTACAATTTGAGTATGACTGTTTCTGTTTGATAATAACTTTTTGAAAAGTATTTGACTATGGGTGTATAGGTACTTAATTATCAACTTCAAATTAGTTGGCAGTTTTACTCTTTCATTGGATATATTTTGATTTTAAAATTTATATGTTTTAACTGATTGACACAAAATATTCTAAATGAAATTGGAAACCTATCAATACTAGTATATCTAGCCATAGAGACAAATGGTTTCAGTGGTACGTAATTAGATCCTAAACTTATTTTATATATTACATCCAATGTTCTAAAAAATGTAAAGCGTGACTAAATGTCAAGGTCAAGGTTCAAGCATTTACAAGCATAAACGGGTTAGGCCTAAAGTATATATAGCATTTTACAAATAAATGAACCGCCTAAACATTTTACACTCTTCTGACAAAGATTTATACTAAAACTCTAAATTTAAAAGTATGATACATAACAATGGTTTTTATGCAGATGGATATTTGTATAGGCAAGTTGCAGAGTTAACCCAAAACTGATTTCACTAAATACCCTTCGAAGAAAAATTGGGTAATATTGAAGCACCTGGGTAGGGATGGGCTTGTTCTGCTTAAATTTAAATCGATTTTGGTTATTAAAAGCAAGAACAAGTCTATTATAGTCCCATTTTGATAGCTAGAATTGTTATATCGAGTGCACCTGATTTTTAT